TAAACAAGACTACACGCCGCGTAGTAATACACACCCTTATATTACCTATTTTTAACCCTAGCCTTTATATAAAATTCTCGTTAAGCTTAAGGGAGGTTTGTAACGGTGGCTTAGGTTCTAAGGCACAGTAGGTCTATTTCTTAGAAAGTAAGTTAGGTTAAATGCTATAGAGTAGCTTTTAAGTAGTATTATAATAAGGCCGTTAAGAGTATAACTCTTAATAGTAAAACTATTACTTAGATTAATTAATAAAGAATTAAACTACCTAATTATAGGAATACTCCCTCCTTAAGTACTCGTTTACCTCTCTATTATAGTCTTAGATTAATTAGCTTAACTATTAATCCCTTTAAACCTTAATTAATTGGCTTAAGGTTTAGTTGGTTTAATTCTTCTTAGTTAATGTATTTAAACATTAACCTCTTTAATCGTCTCTTAGGTTACGTGGCTAGTCACGTGCCCCTACCTTCTTCTTATACCTATAGGTTATACCTATCCTAGCTAGTGTGGTCTCGTCCCGTATCTTATATAGTGTTATTTGTAATATTATACCCCTTCTTTATTAGTCTTATTCTTAAGGCTATTTAAATAGGCTAGCTTAAGTGTTATACGTTTTACGTACGCTTAATTAAATAAGGGTAAACCCTTAACTATAAGTGGATAACCCTAATAATCAGCGCACTTATAAAAAGAGCACATACGATTCTCTCTTTTATAGCTAGACATAGACTTGTATATATACATTATCGTTACAATTGGTGCCCTCTAAAGTGTGACACAGAGTCTGGTGAGTCGTGACCCTCTCCCTGGCGTAAGATGGATAGCATTGAAAGAATGGCTGCACATGTGTAAAAATGCCGACCAACCTTAACACCCAAAACACCAAACTACGGCGAGGCCTGGACCCATAGCCTGTCCTCGCTTCCAACTGTCAGGACATCGACCAGAACAAGCAATGCCCAGCCGCTAGTTTGTTCACACCAGACCAGACAACTCTGAGATTGTCAAGTGGCGAGTCACCAATCTGCTCTGCCAATCAGCCAAGTTCAACCCGCCGCAATGCAAAATTAAAGTCAAGTCTGTTCGGCTAGCCCGTTACACCAGAACAAGAAGGCAGTGGTGGCCATGGACAACATTGAAAGCGTCAAGTACCAAGATCAATTGTGCACGTGGCTATTAGTTGGCCCCTCTTCGCGGCCTGTCAAACCTAGATCAAGTTACCACAGTTAAGCTTAATAAAAACGCTACTTTTAAAAATCCCACGTTGAACGGCGCACTTCGCTATCTGTCCAAGCCTTTGAGGCTGGGCATTTCCCTCTGTATCTACCATGACATCAGAAGTGGTGGCTCTGTGCGTCACCCAACGCGGCATGGCATAGTTCCATGTTTGGAATAACGAGTTCCGAATCATACAGATATCAGACTGATTGTCTGCAATTACCCGCATGTTGAAATGTTGGGCGTCCGTTCATGACCAGCATGACGGGTGACTCATCAGGAGTCAGGACATCAACCACGGACCAGACCTTTGTTCTGCCCGCCACAGAAAATCCTCAAACATCTGCTGCGACTTCTTTTTGAATGAGAAAGCAGCGTTTACATTTCCATCACTCTCGCCGCCGACTTTTTTTTTTCTACGTTGCCGGCAATCGTGCAACATGTCCACATTGACCTTGGCCGGCCTTGGCTCGCTGCTCACCAACGTTGGCGTGCACGACTTCCAGTCACTCTGTGCCGACATTCCCAACACGCGCACTCTCAGTCGGCCACCCGACATTTACCGCCTGATCCTCACAATTCTTTTAGCCAAGCTGACGGGTTGTGATGCCACACTGATCTATGAGTCCATCCAGCTACCAGGCACGCTGCCCAACGGCGACTTGGTATCCCTGTGCCTGGATTGCAGCTGAAGGGCTCAAAGCCTAATGTTCAGGCCGTTGAGCTGGCCACGTCTTTCCCAGAAAACCACCCGATGCTCCAGAACCCAACAGCCAGCGGCGTCCACCTTCCCTTCTTCTTAACTCCAAAGCCTCTGTCACACCTCATCCTCCCTTGTGTTTTTGAGCGGCGGGAGGCGTACGGCCGCGACTTGACTTTGGGCCTCGACGCTTCTATGGCAGGCGGCGAGAGGCGAAAGAAAGTCGTCATTGAATTCTCCTCGCCCAACATCGCCAAGGAATTCCACGCTGGCCATTTGCGAAGCACCATCATCGTGCATTCATTGCCAACTTGTATGAGAGCATGGGTTGGGACGTCACCAAGGTCAACTATCTTGGCGATTGGGGCAAACAGTTTGGGCTGCTTGCTGTCGGTTGGCAGCGCTTTGGCTCCGAGGAACTGCTGTCTCGGGAGCCACTGAAGCACTTGCTCGGCGTTTACGCTCAGATCAACGCCGAGTTCAAGCTCGAGGAAGAAGAAAGCAAACGAGCCCGTGCCGAGGGACGCGATACATCCGAAATCGAGTCTCGAGGCCTCTACGCCGAGCGAAACGGCTACTTCCGCCGCATGGAGAAAGGAGATGCAGACGCCATCGCACTCTGGCGACGATTTAGGGATATAAGCATCGACCGATACATTGCAACGTACGCACGTCTTGGTATCGACTTTGACAAATATTCTGGAGAGTCTCAAGTCAAGAGTGCTACAGTCGACGCCGCTGAGAGCGCACTAAAGGAAAGCGGCGTCTACAAGGAGCACGACGGCTCATGGATCATTGACTTTGAAAAATATGGGTTTAAAGGCCTAGGGACGGCTGTCGTCCGTGGACGCACGGGGAGCACCACGTATCTTCTGCGGGATGTGGCTGCGATTCTTGAGCGAGAAGTAAAGTATAATTTTGACAAGATGATATAGGTTGTCTCCTGCGAGCAAGATCTGTACTTCAAGCGTGTTTTCAGAACATTGGAGCTCATGGGTCGCTCCGACTTGGCTGGTCGACTGCAACACATCAATTTCGGCAAGGTATTGGGCATGTCTCCTCGATTAGGCAATGTTCAACTCCTTGGTGACATACTTGACCAGTCCAGGGACGCCATGCATGACGTTATGCGTCGAAATACTACAAAATACGCTCAGGTGGAGGACCCAGTTTCCGTGGCCGAGTCTGTTGGCATATCTGCCGTCATGGTCCAAGACATGTCTGGCAAGCGCATCAACAACTACCCCTTCGACATCACCCGCATGACATCTTTTGAGCGGGACACGGGCCCGTATCTTCAGTATAGCCATGCTCGCGTCAACTCGATTCTTCGCAAAGCTGGCCTTTCGCGTCAGGAGGTTGCGGAGCATTGCCTCCGCAGTCCGACCTCGCTGGAGGAGCATTTCTCGGATACACCACATTGCGTCAACTTGCTCCGTCTGATCGCCCAGTACCCAGACGTGACCGTCGCTGCACTGCGCAACCTGGAGCCCTCAACTATATTGACATATCTCTTCCGGCTGACACATCAACTTTCGTCCTGCTACGACGTCGTACAAGTTACCGGCACCAATGAGGGCCGCGATGTAATGCTCAGTCGTGCTGGTCTTTATGAAGGCGCGCGTCAGGTCTTGGAAAATGGCATGAGGCTGCTAGGTCTTATACCAGTTGACAGGTACGTCCCGTGTGGCAGCGTTGATTCTCTTGCGTTCATTTAATACACGCTAACAACGGTCCCTTCATAGGATGTAACTCAAGCCCTAGAGGGAAGCGCACCTGTCGCCTCAAATCACTTCCTCTGAGCAGGGCGACGTAGAAGTGCCTGATTGTTTTGGCTTCCTGATCAGATAACCAAGTAACCCAGCTTCCAAGCCTCTCATTTGGTCCATTTTCCCACCACACGCATCCAGGGATCACACTTTCGTCTATTTTCGGGTCTTTCGCTTTCATTGTGCATGATCATCGCGAGTCGGGTAAGCACTTCTCATGGGTGGAGAGCTGCCGACCAGTCAATGAGACGCTGCCATGCTGCCACGCTGCAACTCTGTCAAGGTAGGCAACAAAAGTCATCCGGTCAATAACCATGAGCCTTTTGCGTAAGCTTGAGGACACTCCCCGCCCAATAGGTTGAAGAAAAGTGAGTCAAATCAGCAGTACCTTCTACTCTCCAAACACCAAACTGCGCCAGCCGCTGCATATTCTTTTGTGAAAGCGCTGCGGGCTGATGAAAAGGAACACAAAAATAAACAAATAAACGCCTCTGTGTTGTAAAATTATTTTCTCCCACTTACCGGGGGCTCTGAGCGCCCGTACTCTGGTTGCATTTGTCGAGCCCATGAATGCCCAGGGCTCACTCTTATAAATACCATCACCATGCGCATACTTCTCGATTTGACGTGACCTCCACAACACGATTTGCTCGTACCACATAACATTATCACAATGAAACTCCTTTCCACCGTCTTGGCGGTAGTCTTTGTGGCCACCCACTGCAACCCTTCCTACTAGCACTCCCACCAAGGCTCTTCACTAATTTGAGAACCGCGCAACAACTTGCACAAACGCTGCCACTGATAATCTCATCTTGCATTCTCCATCGGCAGCTTCGAAAAACCTCGCAACGTTAAGGATCCTTCAGGGTGTAACTGGTCCTCTCACAATTGCTTCTGGACTCCCGATGAGCCCGACGGCTTCAACTTCATCCCCAGTTGCCACTGTCATGACTTTGGGCACCGCAACACCAAAACTCAGAAGCGATTCACAAGTGAAATGAAGACACGAATCGACGATAATTCTAAGAAGGACCTTTACAAGCACTGCTCCCAATTCTCGGGCATTTGGCCCTTCAAGGGTGCGGAGTGCCGCCACATTGCGGACATATACGTTGCCTTTATGCGCCAAGTTGGGCAAGTGTGAAGGAGCCGAGATTGAATTCGCATTGCGGGGTGACAGTGATCTTGCTATTGACGAATAGACCATTTGTGAAGGTTTGGAGCATGACAGTGACGGTTCACGTCTAGGTTAAGACTCTGGTAATTTGTGTCATGTTTGAACAGCCGCGTGAGAAGACGTCAGACTCTCTCGTCGTAGCTACAGGTGGCAATCAATTTCTAGTCACATTCAAAGCAATCCACGGCAGACAGGTCCAATCTTGGTCTGCCATCCGGATGGACTTTTGTAAGTCTCGTATATCGGTTGGGGTTCTGGGCTACTTAAGCATATGGACGTCCGAGGAGAAGCAGAGAGGCGCTGGAACGGTCAACGTGTAATGGCCGACCTGCCAACCCGGCGTGAAGCCTTGGGCTAGTGGCATTGGTACTGTTACTAGTGTCACCACCTATCACCTTATACGGTATTAAACGGGGCACATATTATCGGGATCTGTTCAAAACCTCGGGCGAACAGCAACGTGAAAGAGCATAGCCAGCAGCGCCGTGGCGGGTCATGCTGTTGAATCTGAGGGAATCGTTCGTCTTGGAATTGACCCCTTTACCGTTTCTTGTGGCGGGTATACAAAGTCCATTAATGTCAGAGGCGATAATGAGAGAGGGAACCGATATGTGCATACTTGTAAGCTGGATATCGGGGATATTGGGCCAGACGGCTATCGCTGGATCTTTTTGCTCCCCGGCTGAGTGGTTAACCCGATGACTACTCTGACAATCAAGAAGTATCGCAGCGTTATGTATGGCATGGACTGAACAGCTGAAGACGGATTTGACCGTTTAATTGTGTTTGATGGACAAGGTAGACCCATCGCAGATGAAACTATTACCAAGAAGGAAGCCTTTTAACATCACCGTGGTGGTGTAGACTATCACAGAGAGTCTGTCGCAGGCACTACTGCGCAATGTTGACCCAACAGGATTGCGTATACGTAGCAAGTTGAAATTGTTATACCAAAAGTGGAGGTCCCTCCATCTGATGGAAGATCAATTAAGCTTTTAATCCTTCAATAAAAATCTGCTCCCGCCTGTAGGTAGCAGTATAACAATCACTATTGCCTAAATGAGCAACCTAATTTTATTGTTATTACTCTCCCATTGCTTCATGTACCTGCTCACACCTAAGCCTAGAAGCAGAATTAGTGAGATTATTTACGAATATTCTTCGCCTTCCTTAAAATCTGATGAGCGAACTTGAAGTGTCCGATGCGAATCGCTATCCAGTTGTCTTGATGTTGTATGATTGTCAGTATTGCATCAGCTACCATGGGAATGATGGAGTAAGCATCCGAATTCGTAGGCCGTAGGTTGGTGGTGACCAGCCGAGAATAGATTGCGACCACCCTAGCTTCCTAAGCGCCTTTTACCCCAAGAACTCAAAGACAGCGCTTGATCCCAGCTATGTTACGCTTTTGCACTGTATTTGATAAACGTGCCCACTCTAACGAATCCTCTTGACGATTCAGCATTAAGAAGTCTGGTTGCTTACCCCTTGCACCTATACATAGACCGTGCCAATAGACGAGAGCTGGGTTATATGGATGATCTCGTCGGTTCGTGTATTTCCAAACACGAAAGCTTTAGGAATCATAGTTCCCGAAACGAGACGGGCCTCTCTGAAGAATTTTGATAGTGGCGTAACGCCGAGACTACCTGTAAAGGATGCGAAAAGGTCATGCAGTCGCGACAACAAAAAGCGACTCGCGATCCATTTCTTGCTAGTAAGAGCCTTTCCAGGGACGCAAAAATGCTTGTGGGGGTGGGAGTGCAATGGAGATTGCAGAAGCGATAGTACATATAGAGGCTTCTGCCAAATCTCGTTAACGTCGGGTGCTCCCATTGTGTCGTTGCCTTGCTGGGGACTCGTGTCAATCCGAGTCAGCTTGTTAAGCCACTTGGAGAAAGAATCCGGCGTTCTAAAGTATGCCGCAACCAGAAATTCCAGAAGATTATAGTCGGTACGCCTTTCGATAGAGTATCTTCCCATGACGCTGTCAAGGTTGTTAGTCGTTAGGCCGTATCTCTGGTTTCCAAAGCCCATGACCGAGTAAAGAGTATGCTCTTATCACAAAAAGAACGCGCTCTAATTGAATCGCAATTATACCCCTTTATATTCCTTTGACAGCTCTCGTCTTCCTGCAAACGGGATCCAAGGTCCATGGGAAGTTTTGGCCATACATGTTCAAATTCGTTACCGCTTAGTAGCCCGTGGAAGAGATGGCAGTTATTTCTCCATGCATTCACGACATTTTTATCTTTTGGTCAGACGAGATTTGCTATTCGGTAAAGGTACTTTTCGACTTCCTTTCCGAGGAAGACCTAGAGGCACCCCATGACTCCTTGTGTTGGAAGGAAATATGTAACATTTTAACAGCTACGGTAAATACTCGTAGGCGTCTACAATTTTCGCCCTCTGGCTTAAATGTCATATTTCCAACATCTCGCCTGGTTCTTTTACGACGTGCGAGTGAATAGTGGCAGTGGGAATGGTTGAAACCACAATGACACCTACCTTGGGACACCAGGCTCAAGAATCAAAAGCCCAAATGTCAAAGGTCGGACAGGGTCGAGAAACGCTGTATCTAAAACACTAGCTGCTACACAACCTGGTTCAACGGAGGTTTGAGGCCACTGAAAAAATAGGGCCTATTTGAAATCATCATCGTCTATAGAAAGGGCCTCAAATCCCTCGATAGATGGCTTCAATCAAGTACCAATCCACTGTTCAATGCAATTAATAGCTTTCAACGTGATACCAAACATCATTGCCAAATGGAAGTGGCCGGATGGAGTCACGGCGGCTTCAGCAGTTACCATGGGGTTCGCAGGGAAGCCGGTAATTGATTGAGTGCCACGTCAACAGCTGGGCCTAAAACTTGTGCTAGCTATTTGTAACTTGTGCAGCGGTAAGTACTGTACTAACAAGGTTTTGCATTCGTAATGTACCTCCTTCGTTCAAGTACATTCATCTTCCATCTTCGTAATTTTTGACCGGAACCCCTTCAAAGACAAGATATCCATGTCTGCCACGGTAAGCTGGACTGGAAATAGCACCGTTGGCAGAAAGACTTACCTAATAAGCTGAGGCTCTCGTACTTCACAAAATGGGAATGATCTCGGGTACAATGAGCGGCATGAGCAGCATATCACTAAGAACGAAGCCTTCAAGCTGAGAGTTTCAAAGTTCGCAGTGCCGTAAGTATACCAGGCCCGTCTTCGATGTTGGGTAAGACAACCGATGGGAACTTTGTAGACTTGCTGTCCTACAAGTTGATTGGTACCCACAGGCACTGTGTTAGAGGAGAGTTATAGTACCTGTTTTCGCACGCTCGCTCGCACTCGAAGTTCAAAGGGGATCTTGTCAGCAGAACAAAGCGACTACAATAAATACCCCGAGCCACAGAGTCCTGTGGGCCAATTGATCCAGCGATTATATGGGCTTGGGGGCCGGTTGTCTCAACTAGTAACGTGAGCGTGTACAGCAGACTGTAAGAGGCTGATCAACATACCATTCGATGGCCCTTTTCGAAAGCTCGGATAAGGGCGTGGCGCGGGCTCAGAGGATATTAATATTAAGCAAGGCTGGACGAGAATCTGTTTTTAGTTTAGGTCGTGCTTGGCGGGTCGATATGAGGACGTGACGTGAAAGGTGACTGTAACGCGAGGCCGGCACAGCGGTGAGGCTTATCAATATCAAACCGTTCTAAGTGGTGTACGTTAGATCTTTCAAGTCCTGTGTCGTGATAGCCTTTTGGCAAATGCCACAGATGAAG